TAGTCCCGTTTAGTCGGACAGCGCACAAACGACTATCTACTGGGATCCAGTCTAGGAGAGATAATTCTGCCCTAGGACTCAACGCTATGCCTACACCAGCAAGACCCCTGGAAGCAGCATCAGGGCTACCGGATACCCGAAGAGTAAATCGAGCTGCTTCTTCGTTTTGACAAGGTGGAGTCAGGTTAATGACTTTACTAGGATCCTGTATGCGCGTTTCCGAGACGCAGCATACATCGATGGCACGAGTTTCTAAAGTCCTAGCTAATGATGCCTGTTGCCCTATTTGACACAATGTCCGTACATTAAAAGCTCCAATATGTAGTCTAGAACGGGGTTTCAAGAGACCAGGAACGACGTTTCGTGATCTCGCTTCGTCTGCATTAGCGGTGCAGTGAGAAAAGGGAGTGTGAGTAGAGTTAGTTGTAGAGATAAAAGAGACATTAGGGGGTGTAGGAAGGATTTGATTTTGACCAATTTGGTCTCGCGTGCTGTTACGGGTATGAGGGCGGTTGTCACTTCCCGGCTGCCCACACCTTGGAAGGTTGTTTCTTGAGGGACCTGAAAAGGAAGATGGATTAGTGTTGGTGCGTGACCGCAGAGCCCAAGGGACAACTGCTTGAGGCCGGTCACGCACGGCCTTTTTATGAAAGGTATTTTGAGAATTAGCTCCGTTCTTAAAGGCCCTTAGTGGGCACCCTTACCCAAGGAGACGGAAATCCGTGAGTTAGGGGGAGTGTGACATTTTTAGGGTCGACCTTTTCTAACCCTTCCTTCCTTGTGAGAAGGCAGCATCGCTGCAGATGCTGGTTGTCCGAGGGAAACACCTTACTGCTGTCACACCCCTCTGCAGTCAGCAGTACGACTTCGCCCTCAGACCTTGGGTAGCTGCTTTTAGTCTCATCGTTCTCCAATCGACCAGCCTGGCATGGTAGGACCTGCAGGAACATATGTTCCAGCCAGTATAGCTCGGTTGGGTCATCACGATAGGCAAGCCCGACCACCACGTCAAGGTAGCAGCTTCGGTCGGGACGATCTGCCATCGAAATCGATCAAACGGAATCGTTCGGTTCCTAGACTTCAATCACCGTATCAATTCACTCAACAGCTAAAACTGAATCGTTATCATTAGAAATTAATATGAGCGCCCACTGATTTTTTCCACTTTAAATTAGTTATGGTTTTGACAACTTTCTGAATACGGAGGCTTACTTCAATATTCAATTCTGATTATTTCAGAATAATACGTAATTGTTGACCAATTGAGCTGTCCTTTGAAGTAATTCGTTCATTGTTTTAATCGTTTGAGTTGAGAGTAGATTAAAATCTTGATTTTTGGAGATAGTCGTCTCACAAACATCTGACTTTTTGATACCTGAGAAGTTAGTTGTTGTTGTTATAGTATATGAACTGTGGTGCTTCGATGGAGGGAAGACATATCGAAGAACGATGCCTGAATATGTTTTAGCGTATTCTACACTTCAGTTTTACAAAATAGAATTTATTGGCGAAGTGATGTTGACTAAACCTTTCACTCTAGTAATACATTGAGGCTTATGTAATAAAAACAGTTATGTGAACGACTACTGGACTGTATTACATATTTCCAAATATTATCTAGTTACACAATGAGATGTATTTTAAGAACAATTTTTATTACCTGTACAGTGTATGCATCTAATACTGGAGTTCCAGGACTACAGCCTGTAGGGAGAAGTAATCCAGGCCTATTCATCATTATTCCAGAGCAAGCAGGATTTAAATTAGTACCAAGTGGTCTGGGAGCCAACTGAGGTTGATTGGATACAGTTGCAGGAGTTAGAAAAGTACCGGATTGTCCATATAAAGTATTCATTTGTGAATTAGCAAAAGATACTTGAGGTCCCGGTTTTATTGTTGACATTGGATGAGTTTGAAAATTAGTACCAGTATTCAATTGAGAGGTAGTGAAAACTGTATTACCAACACTGACACAACTGGTTGGCATTTGAATATAGAAAGCCTGTAAGAAGATATTAAAAGATAATTTACATAGATCAAGTCTACATAGTAGGTAGGTAAAAAAAACTCAACGATAACACTGATTTCTATGGAATAAATGTGAACTTTATATAAGATGATAAAAACTTTGATTTTCTTCATTAACCTACTTGACCTGATGGCTGAGCAATTTGAGGAGTTAACGAAGATATTGTAGATGAATTTACACTGGTTGGCGCAGATACGGTAACAGGGAAGTAATTAGGTTGAGGACCACAAATACGCGTTAAAGATGCTTGAAGATTTAAATTATTAGGAGCAGTAGCTGGTAAGATGAATCGTCCATCAGGAAGACGAATAAGACAATTTGTTGGATTTGTATGCGTAGCCATTTGTCCTGCAATTGGTGCTTGAGATAATGGATGAGCAACCACAAAAGCATTTTGATTAGTCTGACCAGGAGCAAAGACAAATGATGGAGCACCTACAACTGGAGTACCAATAGGTGTAGATTGAGCAAGGAAAAAGTTTCCTGGAGATCTGTTTAAGAAATGATAAGTGAAGGATAAACATCATTCATGTTAGTTTAAGTTCATATTTACGAGTTATTTAGTTGTTTGAAAGAAATATTCATGATATATAACAACACATGAGGTAATTTGCTGAACCAATAGAAAGTGAATAATTTTGTAGGATAGGAGACGTAAATAAACTCAATTAGGTGTAAAGTTATTCAAACAGTAAACGAATGATTGGCTACTACTGTTGTTTATGATGTTTAAATTAAATTTTAGGATGCATTTGAGAACTTGTAAAAATAAAAAGAGGAGAAAGTGATTGAAAAATGTACATCTTACCATCTGGTTTGTATACTAATCATAAGTGCTTTTAACTCTGCCTGGAGCCCCTCTAGAGTTACTGCCGGTCCCAAGACCAGGTAAGGAAGAGTTGGTCGTGAGGGTTAGCGACCCCTAAGGAGTTGCTGTCCAAACAAGAACAAACAGCACTAATAAGATTGAAATCTCAAGGACCCCGGATCATTAAAGCATCCTTCAAAACAAACAAAGAGAGGATTACAGTGAGTGTTTTTCAGTGATATGCGCCTGACAACAATAACAATGAAGACGTTAAAAGTCAATTCTACGAGAGGTTGCAGTCAATCATCGAGAAATGCTCAACAAGGGACTTAACCATTCTGATGAGAAACCGAAACGCCAAGGTTAGAATGAACGACAATGGATATGAAGACATCATGGGACGACATGGACTGGGGGAAAGGAACGAAAATGGTGAGAGATTAGTAAACCTACGTGTCTTCAACAAATTGGTCATCGGCGGCACAGTATTCCCACACACACGCATACACAAGGCTACGTGGATTTCATCCGATCACACTACTCGCAACCAAATCGACCATATTTATATCAATAAAAATTTAGAAGGACCATGGAGGACGTGAGAACCAAGAGAGGAGCAGACAGCCTCGGATCGCCAAGATGAAACTGAGAGTAGAGAAGCACCGGACAATTGGGCGAACAGCATCACAAAAATTTAGTACGACCGTTCTTCGGGATACTGACAAACTCAACGAATTCGAGATAGCCCTCACCAATAGGTTCCAGTCTTTTTACGGTATACTCAATGGGTCAAGGAGGCAATCATTTCAACATGTCAGGAGGTCCTGGGCCACAAAGAGCATCATCACAAGGAATGGATCTCTGTTGGTACTCTTGAAAAGATTCAAAAAAGGAGGAACAAGGCAGCAGTCAATATCAGGCGAACAAGAGCAAAGTAAGCCAAAGAAAAAGGTGATTACACAGAAGCAAACAAGCAAGAGAAAAGGAGCGTAAGAGCTGACAAATTTAAATATGTGGAGGATCTAGCAATGATAGCAGAAAAAAATGCAAGCGAAGGAAACCTGTGACAACTATATGATATAACGAAGAAGGTTGTTGGAAAATAGAGTAAATAAGAACGACCAGTGAGAAAATAAGAGGACATGCCAATCAACATTAAAGGAGTGAAACAGCTGGGTAAAGCATTTTGAAGAATTATTGAATAGACCAGATAGAAATAACGTGGAACTTCGGACGTACGTACATCTGTTCGGGTTGCCATTACCACATTAGCACAGAGACACAATTGCCAATCCAAATCCCATAGTGGAAGATGTATCAGATGTAACAACAACCTACTATGGGATAGAACAAATCAGATTCCAGCTGAGGAAGGAGCGCTGGAAGTGGATAGGACAAACATTGAGGAAATCACCCAACTGCGTCACAAGGCAAGCCCTAACTAGGAGTCCTCATGGCCAAAGGCAAAGAGGAACACATTGCGCCGACAAATGGAAACAGACATGGGTAAAATGGACAACAATTAGATAGAACTAGAAAGGGCGCCTCGGGACCCCCTGTGCTCCATTAAGGGTAAATGGCGAAAGTAAGTAATCACTGCTTTTTTTAAAGAAAGAAATAAAGGCTTAGCAAAATCGAAACAATAACAAAAATTATATAAGGGATTGTCAGGAGTACAGTTGTGCGTGAATATGTTATTTGTTAACTCTCGATAGTACTGATTTCCTCACAATTAATGATATCTAAGTGAATAGCTTTGAAGAATTTATATATTTAGACATATAATTGATGGCACAAAGGAGCACTTAAATACTTATATGCGATACAAATCATTAAATTTGTGTGAACTGGGTACCTAAACCGGAACAGGTTACTCTCCCAGTGTTTGATCTACGGAGGTAATCCACAGGACGATATAGAAACATCTGGATATGCAGTCTTGTGGTATCCGGTAACCAACAAAGGTTCACATGCCATTTGTTCCCTCAGGATGCTGAAGACCATATACGCCATCCGTTTGGAATCAAGGTTTTCCAGCTCCCTTAGGTGGATCCCTGGTCAGGTACCGTTATCATTAAAATTTTACAAGAAGAAACCCTGTGCAGTAGAAAGTAAAACAAGGAATCACTGTATGCAACTAAACTAGAAGAGTTGAACTTAAATGTATTAAAAACTCAAGAATTTGTACACAGTCAAATGTATTCAACCTATCCAAAGGATGGATGATCTGACATCAGAAAGAACGCAAGTTACAATATAACAGCATAAATAACAATGAAATTCTTTGAAACCCAAAAACTTATATGGAACACTAATCATAACTCAACAAATGGGGTTGATGAGTTGCTAAGTAAGCAAAAACAGTTTCACATATCAGACTGCTGACATGATAAAATTCTACCGAAAAAAAATCTATTCATAATTTAAGACAAAATAAACTTACGCAGAAAATATTACAGGCTGTTGAGATTGTATAATATTAGATCCAAGCATAGGATTTGTAGACGATGCAGGTGTACATACAGGAATAGAAGAGTAAGAAACTGCCGGCATTAGACTAAATGTCGGTTGAGCCATGGAGTTTAAAAATGCTTGATTTTGTTGACAGAAATTACTTTGAACTTGATATTGAGGTAAACAAGAACTTGGGAGTGTTGTTGGCGCAGAAAAAGAACGCATAGCAAATATACACCAACTCCATGCAGGTGGAACTTCACAGGTGGAACAAAGTGACAACTAATATCACTAAGTTACTTTTTGTCAATCAGAAGAGTAATGAAATGAATGTATCATAAAATATTGTAGAAATGAAATTGAAACTATTAGAGTTTTGAGAACACCTGATAACTAACTGATTGTAGTAATTGATGAAAATTAATTCGACATATGATAGATTGCCTAGAAGTTAGAAACAAAATGGTAACGTATTGAAACAATAATCACAAGATAACTGAAATCTAGTTCATTCAATCAAAGAAGAGATGATACGATTGAAAAATCAGCAATTAAGGTAAGCGTTAGAGTAAACTCGTAGGCGAGATATCTATTTTCTGACTAAAGGACGAGTGTACTGTGCAGTAGTTCGCTCCGTTCTCCTATATAGCTGTGAAACATAGCCACTTAGAATAGAAGATATTCGCAGGTTACTGGTTTTCGATCATAGGTGTCTTCGAAGCATTGCTCGTATATCCTGGGACAACCGAGTGAGCAACGCTGTTATTAGGAGACGGGTGCTAGGTAAGAATGGCAGATCAATCGATGAAGTAATGAAACTTCATCAGTTGAGGTGGTTGGGACATGTGTTGGGTATGCCCAACCACCGACTGCCTCGTCGAGCTTTGTTTTGTAGTGTAGGAGTAGGTTGGAAGAAACTTAGGGGCGACCAAACCAAAACATGGCACAAATCCATGAAGTCATTGACGAGTGGACTTAGCCATGTCGGTAATTGTCGACTACCTGGTTGGGGTCCGCGAGATGATAATAATCGATGAATAGAGACCTTGAATGACATGGCTCAAAATCGTTCGCAATGGCGCCGGTGCATTTATTCTTAGTGGTCTTTCAAATCCTAATCTTCTGGGTTCTCCAACCCCTCTAGTTTTGACTTTCTAAACTTTTCTCACTGAATCATACTTCGTGAATAATATCTTCTAATGCTAACCTCTCCGAATAAATCTAATACCTTTATTACCTCTTCTACTATTGGATTTGAATTGACAATTACATCTCTGTGCTAATGTGGTATGGCGACATGAACTGATGTACTTACGTACGAAGTTCTACATTGCATCTGACTGACTGCTACAGTAAACTACTTTTCTCAAAACATCTTGGATAGAATATCAGTTTAATATACTGTTCATAATCTGAATTCATTCTTCGCTGTTTTTTTAGATTTTATGATTTCAATTGTTCAACTTTTGACAGAACAATGAGAAGATGTAGCTGATCTGATCAACTACGAACTCATTGTTTTAAATTTAACTTTCATGATATTCTTGTGTGATGCTTACTTACTTGCTTACGCCTGTTACCCCCAGTCGAGCATAGGCCGCACACCAGTTTTCTCCAACCAACTCTGTCCTGGGCTTCCTTCTCCAGTTTTGTCCAATGTTTGTTCATTCCTCTCATATCTTTCTCTATTTCTCGGCGTAGTGTGTTCCTTGGCCTTCCTATTTTCCTTTTGCCTTGAGGGTTCCATGTGAGGGCTTGTCTCGTGAAGCAGTTAGGTGCTTTCCGCAATGTGTATCCTATCCACTTCCACCGCTTCTTTCTGATTTCCTCCTCCACTGGAATCTGGTTTGTTCTCTCCCACAGTACGTTGTTATTGATGGTGTCGGGTCAACGAATCCGATGTATTTTGCGTAGACAACTGTTCATAAACACTTGTATTTTCTGGATGATGGCTTTGGTAGTTCTCCAAGTTTCCGCTCCATACAGTAGAACTGTTTTGATATTTGTATTGAAAATCCTGATTTTGGTTTTGGTTGAAAGTTGTTTGGAGTTCCAGATATTTTTCAACCGTAGAAATGCAGCCCTCGCTTTGCCGATCCGCGCCATCACATCTGCATCGGATAGACCTTTCTCGTCGACGATGCTGCCCAGATATGTAAAGTTGTTAACATCCTCGAAAGCATCTCCATCAAGAGTGATTTGGTTGGTGCATGTTGTGTTGCATCGGAGAATTTTGCTTTTTCCTTTATGTATGTTGAGACCTACTGCTACACTGGTCGTCTTCTCTTGCATTTGTTGTTGAGTGTGCGATAGAAGAGCCATATACTTATCAATGTGTCAGTCAGTCAGTTAAGACGTAGAACTTCGTACGTCCGTACATCAGTTCAGGTTGCTATACCATATTAATACAGAGACGCAATTGTCAGTTCAAATCCAATAATGGTAGAGATAGTAGGAGTATTAACGGTAATGAAGAAGATTAGGGTTCGAAGATATTATTCAAGCAGTATAATTCAGTGAAATATCTTTAGAAAGAAAAAGGTAGAGGTAATGAGGAATTCAGAAGATTAGCATTTGGGAGAACACGAAGAGAGTGGATGAACCTGTGCCATTGCAGACGATTATGAGCTATGCCGTTCAAGGTCAATAACTACCATTTGCGTAAATACTGAATAAAGTTTTCTTGATTTCAATTTGCTTCATTCGATAATATTTCTTGATCATATTATCTATTCCAGTATTTACAACACATTACAATGATAACTACCGAAAAATAGCTATTAGTATACTTTACGTTATTAGAATGAGGAAGAATTACTTTGGGAATTGATAAAGGTAGAGCGAAATACAAATGTTCTACAAGTATTATGACAGCAATCACAAAACTTGGTCAATAAACAAAATGATCTCGGATGCTATTAAAGGTATGACAGAAGTTGCCATGTTCCGGATACGCACAGTATTGAAAGATGCTTCATCTTGTACAACCTTTAGACAAATTAATTGATCCATTCTTATCGAATTATTCCCACGTCTTTCAATCTTGTTGTTGGGGATGTTAAATCTCCAGAACTCGCTTGATAAATATCTTTATTTTCGATTTATTTCATGGACCGATCAGTTGACCTTAAGATCACATTTCCCACCAGGAAAATCCTTGGCTGTGATTGGTTACTGTGCCATTTGAGTGTGCTATTTTTGTGACTGTCCCAAGGACGTCTCTATGATGTATAAATAAACGCAATTCGAGTGCTTGGATTCATTGTGTGTTGGCTAGGTGTTTGTAGAATACAATTTCTACGCTATATCAAGACTTCTTACTGATTCAATTTGGTCAATGGATTATAGTAGCCTATCTGGACGCTGGTTCATTGTTTGTTCTCGTTATTCGACTAAGGTGAACTCGTAATAGTTTAAGCATACCTAGAGTCGAGCGTAACACTTGTCAATTATTCACGCATAACCTTAGTTATTTCTATTTGAGTGCGTATGTGTGCATACCTACTTCGCTCATTACATGTCTAGTCTATTTTTGTCTGACTATAAATACTTAATCATGCATCATCACATTGAGTTGGCTCACTCGTCCTCTTCACTTAGCTGCCCTTTAGTTGTACGCTATATGTTCTTATGTCAGCCTGAGTGAAAAATTGCATACCATAAATTTATCTGCAAAACCGTCTTTGGTTTTAGATTACAATTGTCGCGTAAACAGGGTTCGTCTAAGTTTAATAGAAGGAAATTGAAGAGGAGATTTATTTCATAGCATATTTAGTCGTTCGTACAAGTTGGAGTTAGACTAATGACCACTAAACCGGTTATACACTACCCTTTTGTGGGATTTAACATGGTCTAAGACTGTTAACTTCCAGTAACTATATTTCTGCTTAAAAACTAGGAGAGTAAAAGAAAGTTCCATGTTTAATTCATATTCTCAGTTGATTTCATTTGGAGTATTTTGTGGTTAAATTGAAACAGCCAGACATAATCAATGAACAACCAAAGACCAGAGGCTGGTTAAGAAGAACCAAGCTAATATTAAAAGTAATCTTGGAAGTTAAACAAGCCCTGGGAAGATAAGCAATGTAAACTAATATTTACTATCAAACATATCTTTGTCTATGAAAGAACAGAGCTAAAAAAATCGATAAAAAATGTGCATAAACCGAGCAAATGAAAGTCAGATATTCGATAGTTATTAACCACAACATAATTGTAGTGACTGATATAAACAGCAGCTATTAACCGGATATTTTCTGATCAATGTGAAGTACACAGTACAAGTAGTTTTGTTGTGTTGAGGTGAGACAACAATCTTTTAAGGAATATGAGGATAATTAGGATTTTGTTATAACCAGTGGTCAGTAAAAGTACCGCTGCCGGACTGGTTTATCACGTTATCCAAAATTACAATGGAGAGTAATCATGTGTCACTCGCTTTAGTGGTTCGGTGGTTGATAGTTTTGAAAAAAGCAAAAATAGGCATTTTTGCCTTCAGGAAAATCTGGGACACTTTTAATGCACGTTAGGACATACAACTGCACAGGTAACGCTAAGTGGACTTTTACCCGACCGTAGCTGCTATCTTGACGTGGTGGTCGGGTTTGTCTAACGTAATGACCCAACCGAGCTACATTGGCTATAATCGGTCCTACTATACCAGGCAGGTCGATTGGAGAACGGTGAGACTAAAGTCAGTCAGTCAGTCAGTTGCAACGTAGCACTTCGTACGTATGTACATAAGTTCATGTTGCCATACCACATTATTAGCACAGAGACGCAAATGTCAAATCAAATCCCATAGTGATAAAGATAGTAGAGGTATTAATGTTATAATAAAGAAGACTAGGGTTTAAGATATTATTCAAAAAATATAACTGAGAGAGATAAGGTTAGAAAGACAAAGGTAGAGGTGCTGGCTAATCCAGAAGATTAGGATTTGAGAGAGCTCAAAGAGTGGATGCACCTGCGCCATTGCAAACGATTTTGAGCCATGTCGTTCAAGGTCTCTAACCATTGATGACTTTCGTCTCGCGGACCCCAACCAGGTAGTCTACATCTACCAACATGACTCAGTCCACTTGTCAGTGACTTCATGGATTTCTGCCATGTTTTGGTCTGGCCGCCCCTAGCTTTCTTCCAACCTACTCCTACACCATAAAACATAGCTCGTCGAGGTAGTCGGTGGTTAGGCATACGTAACACATGTCCCAACCACCTCAACTGATGAAGTTTCACCACTTCATCGATTGATCTGCCATCCTTACCTAGTACTCGTTTCCTAACGACAGCATTGCTTACTCGGCTGTCCCACGATATACGAGCAATGCTTCTTAAACATCTATGATCGAATACTAGTAACCTACGAACATCTTCTACTCTTAACGGCCATGTTTCACAGTCATATAAGAGAACGGAACGAACTGCTGCGCAGTACACCCGTC